ATTCTGGAGCACTGGTGTGGCGCTGTGGGTTAATGTGCCAGACTGCAAAGCCGTTTGAACTGCAAGGTCAGCAGTTCAAGTTCGCTAGCGGCTCCTTGGAAACCTTATACAAGGTCGCTATGGGTCAGAACCAACTCGACGGCACATCACAACAACAACACACTTCTATCCTGGAATCTCCCTACTCTACTGCATGGGCTTTATAACTTCACAATGTAGGGACAATAGCCTCACTGCCAACCGCTTTGTCCAGCTTCGGCTACTTCTTCCTCTCCAACCACCAACCTTGTCCACATTGCTCCCCATGTGATCTTGGGCAAACTATTTACTTTCTAGCTCATCAATTTCTTCTTCTGTAATATCAGGAAAGCACTTAACCTCTGGAAGATTCTAGCTTTGCTTCCAACCCTGTGTTCTGCCAGGATTGTAGAATACAAGATGACTGGCGTCTTTTGAAATTATCTTTGCCAAAATTGAATTTTGGCCTGTATTTCTTCGATCAGTCTTGCCCATGCTCCTGAAACATGGGCATCATTGAATTTTCAAGGCACCCTCAGGAACCCAAGAAAAATGTTCACGCTAGACATGAAGGGAAATGAAGAAAACATACTCATGGCCGGTAAAAATGCTTTTATTTATAAAACAACTACTTAAATATAAACATCTCTAAATATAAACACTATTCACACAAGACTCTTGTATTGCCATCTGCATAAGACCAGCAGAGACACTGGGGACGAGGAGTCCAGATTCATCAGAAGTTTAAGGCTGAATCTGCAGTTGGAGAGCAGGGCCTGTGAAGCTGCTCTACATTCAGTCTCCTGCCCCAAGGTAGGCTTCGTGTCTGGGCAAGACTTTAAGAATAAGAATTTTGCCACACAGAACTTTTAGGAGCAGATTCTCATGTGAGGATTAGCAGACATTTTCCTGAGACCACTGGTGGTATGTACTAGTAGGCCCTTTCGACTATCGACTTAGACTACTGTTTCTGAGGTGGGGTGTTAGTGAACTACAGAATGCTGAGCTCCCAGTCTAAAAGAAGCTACTTCTGGGACCACTTATTCGAATTCAAATAAGATACATGTGTCATATTTTCTGAAAATGTGGACATAGACAAATGGTAGTGGTGTGCTTGGATAGAGAGAAAGGCATCCAGTAGTCCACCATGGTGGACTGGCTTCAGCTCACTGCAGAACTAATTCTTTTCACAGAATGGCTAGAACTCTGATGCTGTTCTTCAGGGAAAACGTCTGTTATTGAGTTACAGGAGAGAGGATCATGAGATAGCATCCTACACAGACTGTATAATGTGGGTATGACATAAAGAAAGAAACATAAACATTCACCTAATAAGGGAAGAGAACCTTTCAGATGAAGGGTCAAAGGAAAACAAAGGTCCTAAACACTTCTTAAAAGGAGAAAGGATGCAGCTGAGTTTTGCATAACCAATCTGGGAATGCATAAAATAAATAAGAAGCTTACAGATGTTAGTACTTTAGGGACTTTTAGAAATTAGGAGCAGGTGTGCGTGTGCATGAATGTATGTTGGGCACCAGTGGTGTTCTGGAAGCTTAGAAACACTAGGTCTGGTACAGTTCCGACAAAATGCTTGCCATATGCAGAGGAGCAGCCTACAAGAGCTCACAGGTTACCACAAAGCACCGACAGCCATCAATCGTCTTTCTCTCTGAGTTGGTTTCTGGTCAGCTGACCGTGGAGCATGGGGCCACTGTAAACTCAGTACCATGCAGCTACCAAGGCCAACCTCCTCTAATACTGTAGTACAGCGCTCAGCATACATAGGAGACTGGTGTTCTGATTGGAAATTTCTCGTTGCCATAGGTTGACCCAGGCCTCACCTGTCTTCTTATGGTCACTGAATCATTTGCAAGCCCAGGGGTCCATTTCAAATTCTAGAAATCCTAGTGGGCGTCAAGATTCCCAACCCAGTTGAGAAGCACGAGACATATCTGTGCTCTCCCAGGTCATGGCTAAGCAATGCAGACAGGGCCTATGTCCCAGAGCAGGTGCCCTCCCCTCAGTAGACACCAGAAGGCTTCAGCAGACTGAAAGAGAAGGCAGTAAGGTCGGCGCGCAGCAGAAGGGATTCAGGTGTACTCAGCTTTGCGGATATAATTGGAGGGAACATAGCCCTTCTTTCCGCTGACTTCCGCTAGCCACCACTCTGTATTGCCAGTAACATCTTTAAACTCAAGGATCTTCAGTGTCTGATTAGCTGACACACTCAGTTCATTCGGGTTTCGTGCCTTGAAGCTATAGACAGCAAAATAGACCTGTGGGTGGGAGAGAGAGCAAGTTAGAAAACGAGAACCTCTCAGAACCACACTGTTCAAAAGAATTTTCTGCAGTGATCGGGAAGTTCAATACCCACACTTCCTGACAAGGCAGCAGCTCTTGGCCATATGTGGTTATTGAACACTTGAAATGTGCCTAGTGAGACTGAAGAACTGAATTTCCCATTTATTCTTTATTTTAATGAACTTACATTTAAAAAGATGAGCACACAGACAATTCTTACAGCACACAAGGAAAACTCATGGTTGTAGACTGAGCAAATGTTAACATCTGGATAAATTCATAGCTGAGGAAGTACACAAACTATAATCTGCAATTGGCTTGGAAATACATAGGCTTAGAACTATAAACACTAAAATTTAAATCCAGAAGATAACAGGCCATTTACAGAGAGAACAGGAAACACTGAAACAGAAGCGAATGTTAATTCTAGAAAGAAAAACATAGTTATTTGAGTGAGAACGAACAGACGGGTTAAACCGCAATTTACACAAATCATGAACTGGTGAATGGGTAAGAAACATTCCCAAGACGCCAGAGAAGGGGTACAAGAATAGCTATGAAATGTCAGTCGGGTGCATTTGGCACCTTTTACAGCAGTGAGTGTCCCTGTGTGCCTTTAAAATTTGCCTATGGCCCGTGCCCTATGCCAGCCCGACATGCCTACTCATGGAAGAGCATTATCCGTGCCCATAACATGCCCCCTACCACCTGTCCTACCGTGGCCAGCCAGGGAAGCACTTACCTGGTTGCCTTCTGCCTCACTCTTCTCTGGCTCTTTATTTTTGTCTTTCATGGGCTGGGCTATTTTCACACATTCTTTTACGAGGTCTTTACATTGTCCATTTCGCCCTGGTACGGTGTAACCAGCCATTTCTGGATGCCTGGAGCGTCGGTAACTCCTTGAGGTGGTAGTGTCTCTGGCTGCATCTCCAGAGTCCCGTGACCTAGGCTGGGAGGTGGAATCTGTCTCTGAAAGGCATCTGGGAGGGCTACTCTCTGAATCACCCACATTGAAGGAACTACTGAGATTCCCATGGCCAATTTCCTTCAACGCTGCATCTTGAGGCGGTTTCTGGCAAGGCCCTGAGCTAAAGGACATGGCCATGCTGCCAGGGTTGAAGGTCAAGGAGCTGTGACTATTTTGCCGTGGGAACCTGGGGGAGGAGCCGCTCTGCTCTGACTCGGTGGAAGAGTGGCTGCCCACGGAGACATCTGAGTGGCTGCGACGAGGATTGTAGGGTTTCAGGAAGGAGCTATACACAAAGCCTTTGGTGACTGTGGGAAAGAAACACAAGTGTTAAGAGCTTTTAGAAGGAAGGAGAGAAGGAACAGTGAGCAGACACCAAATAAAAAAGTAATCAAACATGTCAACACTCAATCTCAGATACAATGTGGGTGGGCAGAGACTAAAGGCTGCGGCTACCTGTCAGCTCATTCTTGTCACAACCTCTTAAGAGTGGATAAGAAGGACGGTAATAAAAACCACCATATGTTGGAAAATAGGAACATGAAGAGCATTCAAAAGACTATCTAAATCGGGAGAACAAACAAGATGGCGGATCGGGTGGACGTATAGCAGAGAGCTCCACCACCAACA